CGATGATAATGACAACCCACCAAATGTTTTAATTTAATCCTTTTATTGTTTTTTTTGTAATCTTTGTTAGAATAAAATTTGGTGGTGGTCGTGTTATATGTTTTACTGACTTTGTTGTGAAGTTACAATGATGTTTACGTGTATATGTGAAGTTGCGGTTCGCTAGAGAAGAAAGAAAGTGAAAGCTTTAACATTTTTAATTTTAATTTTTGGGCTCAACTACTGTTTGGTAGACTGTTTTCTTTGATGACGTATCATTTAATTTGCACTATATGTATATTTGTGATTTATAAACCCGAATATGGCGAATCCTAAATTGTAATCTGTTTATATGCGTTATATAAGAGAATTTTGTTGCGACTGTGGGAATGACTTAAATGTCATTATTTTCTTGTTTATATAAACTTTTTATATCTAAATCTCATAGTGTGCATTTGAGGAGTATACAGAGAATGGTTTAATTTTAGATGGAGTATAAAATGAATACTCAAGAACTCTAATGTATGTATAATGATGGCTTAAATGATTGGAATGTACATTAATTGTAACATCCCTTGCAAACAAAGCAATCTATTTTTATTTTTTTTGGTCGAAAATTGTTTCCCATTTCATTAAACCGGCTATCAACCGGGTTCGTTTGTTACATTGACTAAGCAAGCTTTTGCGATTTGGTCAGTCTCTTCATTTTTAGATCGTGGAATAAACACAAAAGAGACTTCTAGATCTTTGCCGATCCTGATGATATCTTGAGTAATCTCATAGATCTCCAAGAGGAAACTGTTGGAGTTGATGAGGTTTATCAGTTGTTGTGAATCTGATAGCATCATGAATTTGGAGAAATTCCTTGTCGCAATTTATTATTATTAAATTTCACAGCAATCTATTATTATTAAATTTCTTGAACATTAATTTTCTTTTGCAAAATATAATCATCAGATTACATAAATGATATGATGCCAAGGCATTCTTTTCTGTTATTTTCCATGCTTATTCAACCATATGAGACAATTATTAATTGATCATATAATTCAACAACCTTTATTTATATGCTATTCAGTACAAGTGTACAACTAGCCATCACAGAAGCACAAACAATTAGGGTTTAGTGAGGTATATACATTCTCACGCATATACTAAAATCATTTAAACAATCTTACAACAAAATATTGTCTAACTGAAATGACTCCACACTAAAACATCCTTTTAGCTTAACACCAACCAATTTTTTAGCATTCAATAAGACACACACATCTCTTGTGAGATAATCCAAAGCAAAAGTTTATTCAACCTCTAAAAGAACCTAATGAGATAAATCACGAGACAAAAAATGAAATAACTCATAAGCACTTTAATAGGTCCAAGGAAAAGAAAAAGAGAAAAATTTAGATGAAGCACACGGTATCAGTGTTTTAGATTTGCTATCATGAAATAAAGAGAAAAGAGAATTGTTTTGTGGCAATTCTCAAAAATATTGTCAAAATTACAAACAATGTTCTTCTTTTTGGTCACAACAAGATTTTTTATTGATTTGTCACTCTCCAAAAAGAAATAAAATGTTTACAAAACATGAAAACAAGGCTATCAAAGCCAACAAAAACAATGCTACAATAGTAAAACATAAAAGCATAGAGAACATAAACGGATGCGAGCCAAGCGCTTAAACAACTAAAACTATGGAAGAACTGAACGTCATTATTGCTAGAAGGTGAGACGACTCTTCGGGAATCAAAGAACACAGTCAATGATCTCATACCGAGAATTGAAACTGCAACTCGGACAGGATTAACAATCGAGAAGATGGGTACAATTGTAGAGGTATATTGCAATGACAAACAATTGCATTGATTGTTTTTTCCTGCTTATTATTATTGTAGTTTTTTTGTACAAGTAGTAATTTAGAAACTTATCTAAGCTAATAAATTTATTGAGGCGTACATAATT